TGTTTCAAAACCCATCATCAACACTGACAAAGAAACAACTCTTAGCTCAGTGTTCGAACATCCGCAAACGGCAGCTCCTATCAAACTAGAGATTGACGAGGTACAACAAATATTCTACGGCAAGGGGGAGCCAGGATGACAGGTCGGCGGGAGATGTATTATCATTCCCACTCAGAGACTGGGTCCCAAGCCCCAATAACTACAAGCCCTTACGGCACAGAATCCCTCAACATAAGGGCGAATGACCTACGATTGAAGATCATAACCAAGCTGGACCCCCAAGTACAATGACCAAGATTGCCAAGGCTAAGTGACAAAGTACCCTCTGAAAGTCTGCTAGAAGATGTGAATGCAGCACTACATACTATCCCAACTAAAGCCATAACCGAGACCAATGAGCTGATGTACGCCACAGCAACAGTGATCCTAGGGATGATGGGCTTTAAGATGAACACCACAAGCCACAAAGAGCATTACCCCCCAAGGAGGAGAAGGCTCGAGGCCAAGATCAAGGCAACATGAAGAGAGGTTAGTCAGCTCTCAGAGCTACAGAAAGGTGCAAGGAAGGGGCTACTTAAGAAATACAACAAGCTGTCATTACCTGAGGCTATGGAGACTGACAAACAAAGACTCACCGCTCTGGCTACCTGCCTAAAGAGATACAAGGGAGAAGCAGAAGCCAGGAGAATAAACCGGATGTTCTCAACCGAACCATCCAAAGTGTACTCTCAGTGGCAGGGTAATAACACAAGCTCAGATCCACCCAGGGCTGAGACTGAACAGTACTGGAAGAACATATGGGAGAAAGAGGCATCCCACAACAGCAATGCTCAGTGGCTAGTGGATCTAAGAACAGATCACAGCAATCTCCCAGAACAAGATCCAGTAACCATTACAACGGCAGACATCCAAGAAAGAGTGGCAGGTATGAAGAGCTGGACAGCACCAGGCCCTGACATGATCCAAGAAACTAACTGCACTCCATGAACGCCTGGCAGCACAAATGAACCAACTGCTGATGGATGGGACCCACCCAGAATGGTTAACCCAAGGATGGACAGTCCTGATCATGAAGGACCCCCAGAAGGGAACAATCCCATCCAACTACCGGCCAATAACCTGCCTCTGCACAACATGGAAGCTGCTTGGGACGAGGGACGTTGGCCAGAGGGTTAAGGGACGGAGGGACGAGGGCAGTAGAGACGAGGGCCGGAGGGTCGAGGGCCGGAGGGACGAGGGCCGTAGAGACAAGGGCCGTAGAGACGAGGGCCAGAGGGGCGAGGGACGGAAGGACAATGAAGGCGGCTGGAGATGAGGGCCAGAGGGTCAAGGGACGGAGGGACGAGGGCCGTAGAGACGAGGGCCGGAGGGTCGAGGGCCGGAGGGACGAGGGCCGTAGAGACAAGGGCCGTAGAGACGAGGGCCAGAGGGGCGAGGGACGGAAGGACAATGAAGGCGGCTGAGATGAGGGCCAGAGAGACGAGGGCCGAAGGGACCAGGGCCGGAGAGTTGAGGGATGGAGGGTCCAGGTCGAGTGACGGAGGGTCGAGGGACGGACTGTGGCCTCATTTATTCCACTTAGAGATTTTAAAGCTTTAATATTTTTATGGCTCTGGTTGTATTAATTCTCTGTTGACTGCTGTTGGCTGGCGTTATTTTTATTTTTGTTTGCCGTCTGATCTGATTAAACAAAGTTTCTCTTGATTAAGAAAAGCTGCTGCTGTGATTTAAATGATAAATAAAGCTTCACAAGTCAGTCAGTAATCAGCCTCACCTGCTTCTCTTCGCTACCCTGCTTCTTCAGGTTTCATCACTGCGAGCCCATCACACCTGGACACACCTGGACACACCCGGTTCCAGCTCCTCCCCTCTGCAGACAGCCGACAGCAGAAACAGGGTCAAAAACAGTCCCGGTGGACCTGCAGAGTTTTATTGTCACTGTTTAAATACAGTTTCACATGGAAATAGCATCACTGACACAAATCTACGTAAGCTGTGCACACTGTCATTTCCTCCTGCCTCACGTAAAGAAGTAACCTGTCACTCAGATATCCAACGAAGGTTTAAATTAAGGGGAAATGGACTTGGTTGAAGACAGTAGAAGACGTTTCATCCCTCATCCAAGAGACGTCTTCGGTTCTGACTGACTGGTAGGGAAACTCAGCTATTTAACCTCTGTGTGGTCATTGGCCAAGATCATTGATACCGCTGGTTCGTTAGTGCTCCTGGCTGTTGTAAAGACAGTCGTCATGGTTGTTAGAAGTCACCTGTGGCCAAGTCTGAACAACCAGGAAAACTGCAGACTACAGAAACCACCTAAGATTTAACCCGAGATGCCGACAACACACACTTATACCCAACAGCCTACTCTTAGGCTCCATGGTGAAAGGACACAAGGCCGGTAAAATCCTGGAGAAAGTGCAACACCAGCTACTGAATGAAAGAGTGAGACAGATCCATTTCACCATTAAAGCCCTGAACAAAGAATCAGACAACGTACACCACAAACTGGAAACACATATGGCCAGTACAGGACTGGAAAAGGTCATCAACCCCACAACGCATGACTCGGATAACAGATGGGTGAAAAACTTGTCAGATAGGGAACTCACCCAACCAGAGCAAGACGTTCTGGACAAAGGACGAAACTTTGCCATCACACCACAGCAGCTACCTACAGTGGACCTCATCACAGCTACAGAATCAGCCATTAGGAAAAACAGAACAGCTCAGGCTAAAGGTATCGGCAGCCCTTTCTAATTCGAAGGCACCCCCTTCCAACCTCACCATCCAAGAAAGGAAGGCAGTTGGTAGTGATGTTTTGATCCTTGCTCAGTGTCATCACTGGCGGACAAAGGAAGATGCACAGTGGTCCTAAACACAGCGGACTACCAGGACCTTAACTCCACAGAGCAGACCACATACCAACAAGTGCAGAAGCCAGAGAGAAGTAAGAGAACCACCTGAAGGGGGCACTTACAGCCTGTGGATACCCTAAATGGACCTTTGTGAAAACAGCCACAAAATCCAGGAAGAAGACCAAAACTACAGAGGAGGAGGAGAAGAAGGACACCACAACAAACAAACATCCCTGTGTTTTTTAAACCCAAGAACACACTAAGACAGATGCTGGTCCGCCCCAAAGACCGCACACCCAAACACAAGAAAAGCAATCTAGTGTATGCGGTCCAATGCAGTGAGGAATGCACAGACCTGTATATTGGGGAGACTAAACAACCACTACACAAACGCATGGCTCAACACAGAAGGGCCAACTCCTCAGGTCAAGACTCTGCAGTCTACTTACATCTGAAGGACAGAGGACACTCGTTTGAGGCACCAGGTGCACATTTTAGACAGAGAAGATGGATGGTTTGAAAGAGGTGTCAAGGAAGCATCTACACCAGGGTTGAGAAGCCGTCATTGACAGGGAGGGGGTCTACGCCACCACTTATCCCCCACTTACAATGCTGTCCTTTCATCACTTCCCAGGAAACTCAACAAACGTAACCTATTGGCCTCAGGTGAAGATGCCAACGATGGTCGTTCAGTCTTGGACAGGGGAAGTCCTAACGACCGTAACGACTGTCGTTACAGCAACCAGGAACACTAACGACCACAGAGGTTAAATAGCTGAGTTTCCCATTTACTCAAACTGAAGAAGTCTCTCAGATGAGGGACGAAATGTCTCCTTGTATCTTCAACCAAGTCCATTTGCCCTTGATTTAAACCTTGTTGGATAACTATGACCTGAATGACTGGGAACCTTCAAAGACATCACTCAGATATTTATCTCAGCTTCTTGTACATATATATGTATGTATGTACATATATACACACATACACAGTAGGTTCATATGTAGCTTGTCGAGCTTGCTGTCCTTGTTGTAGTTGTTTCTGTGTAACGCTGAGAGCAACATAAAGAGTCCACTTCCTTGTAAGTGACACACACCTGGCCAACAGAACTGATTCTGATTCAGATTTACTGCTTGTTGCTGCCACCTGTGGACAGTAGATGAGCAGGAATACGGAGCCCCTGAAGGGTCATAGCGAGGATTTTTGAGGATTATTTTTTCATTACCTCACAACATGTTTTGTCTTTTCTTGTAATCCTTTTCTTCTGACCCTTCCCGAGCCGTAGCCGCCTGTTTCCGTTCAGCTGCTCCCAGCGACCCAGTGTGGATCAGCTCATCGAATCTGACTTTGAACCGGGCGTTACCTACGGTGATATAGCGCTACTGCTCAACAGGTAATGTACGCTGCTCAAATAAATTTAGGGAACACTTAATCGTCACAGTATAACGTAAAGTCAAATAAACTTCAGAGTTATCCAGTGGCACTATGCACACATGGGAGCAGATAAAACTCCATATCAAGTGTATATACAGATACACCAATTTGTGAAAATCACGCTTTCATACCTGGCCTAAATGATATGTTTTCTCTGCTTGGAAACAGAAAGGCATTATAACACAAAAGATTTGTATATTGGGGGAAAATTTGCCTCATTTACACAGCTACAAGCCAAATATAGAAGTTATAGAAGTTTTTTCAATTTTTTTTCAGATTATGTTTTAAAAAATAAAAAAATAAACAGGATAACGTGTAAATGTGTTCAGTTAACACCAGATCCAACAAAAAACACTTTAAAACCCTCCTCAGACTTTGTTACTCGCAGGAAAAGCTGCACAAATTTTATCCTGATATCCCATCGGTATGTAACGACGTACGTTCTTTCTGGGCATGTAGTAAACTTCGTTCATATTGGAAGTGTATTTTTCAATTTTTTTCCCCGAGGCTTTTGGTAAGAATTTGGTACCCAGCCCTTTGGTGCCTTGGGGGCCACAAGTGTGCTTTCTTCCGTCAATAAATTTGAAAGAATAGCGATTCTATTTGGGGATGGTGATTGCAAAAAAACTGAACAGATTCTGTGCCTTCATATAATTTGTGGCTGGGAGAATTGTCAAACACTTTACATCTGGAAAGACTGAGATTCTATAATGAAGATTGAGGAGACAAGTTTGATAAAACTTGGGACCTGGTACTGAATTTCTTTAAAATGTGAGCTCATAGACATTGGCTATTGTATAAAAAAACCCTCACTGTGCAAATGAGTATGTGATTTTATATGTGTCGAATTCATTTATTTTCGTACCTTTTGATGGTTTTGTTTATAGTACCCATCTTAACTAAGACCATGGAATATGTTGTAATCCAAGATGTGCGGTGTGATTATTGTCAGGTGTTCTTTTTCCCTTTCCTCTCTCTTCTCTTTATTCTTTTTTCCTGAAAATTAATAAAATATTATAGAAAAAAAACTATCAATCTCTCCAGTTAGGTAGCGGAAGCAATTATTGATCAGTGCATCAGTGCAGTGGGCCCTGGGTTCCCCCTGCTGCAGGGGGCCACACATTACAGACTGTCCTGGAGCTCACAGATGCCCTGAGCCAGGTCTGGCAGGAGATCCCCCAGGACACCACCCACCATCTCATCAGGAACCCCGACAGGCAGGTGGGGGCCGAACACATGAAGAAACTCATGCAGCTTTGATCAGCCTGGTTTCAGGTTTTTTTACTTGTGATTTTGAATCCAGCCCTCAGTCGGTTGGTGATTTTGGTTTCCAATGACCGTTTTTACGTCATTTTGTTCTCCAAGAATTATACAATGTACAGTAAAGATATGGAACTATAATGTTCATTGAGATATGATGTGTGATTGAAGTGTTCCCTTAATATTCTGAGCAGTGTAATTAGCTTAAGTAAACTCTCAGTACTTCAACATTTGACTCTTTGGAGAACCCTTACTTTTCACCTTTGCTTGCCGCCTCCCATAAGACCACCTCTCTCTGCAGTCTGTGTTGCTAACCTCGCTGGGCATTGGGTCTCGTGGTCTGTTCAGGTCTTCCAGCTCTGAGTGAACTCCAGATATCAGGGCCTATCACAATGTGTTCAGGTTCATCAGCTACTCCCTTTCCAGCAGCAGTGGACTCTGTGGACTCATTTGATCTGCCTCTCTGTCAAGGTACAACTCTGGACCAAGATGGAAAGCAATGGACCGACACTGACTGTTGATTAAATATTGAATTTAAAATGTTGATTAGCTGGCAGACTGGCCGATATGCATCTCTCAGTAAATAATAAGTATTCAGCCAAGCTGGAGTGATAATAGTATTAAATTTACAAACTGTATAAAAGTGTCAATGTTGGTCGCGTGAGTTTTGGACCCAAACACAAAGGCAGAGATTCAGTTTGTGAAGTTTAAATGAACAAAACAAGATTCCCTGACTTACATGTAGCAAAGTCCAAAACAAGGTTTAACTCTATGAATGAAAGGTCCAAGCAGAACAGATTGATCCCAAAAAATTCAGAACACTAACAGAAGCTTCAACAAGCAACTCTAACCAGACAGAGTCTGAACAGAACATTTATACACAGGCAAACGCAGGAGGGAGCATGCACAGGTGAGACCATCAGAGGTAATGCTAAAGCAGTCCTCAAAAATGTTCTCGCCGTGACCCTCAGGGGCTCCGTAGTACAAAGAGAGACGTTCCATCAAGTCTTTCAGTGCCCTCCGGTCCTGTTTTCCGTCCTTCAGTGTCCGTCCGTTCCTCATCACTTCCCCGCAGTACAACATGTTGATCAACCAGATTACAGGTGTGTTTTATCCTCCAGGTGTGTGTTCGCCTGTTTGAAGTGAAAGGTGATGATATTTCCTCCCTCTGTGTTACCAACAGGGTTTTATATTTTCTGGAAATGTCTTCCTCTATCATTAATGTGCCAGTATTCTCACGCACAGCTTCTTTAACGGGGGTGGCCATCTCCTCCCGACACTGAAAACCTATTCATCCAGCCCTCAGATCAAACACAGCTACAAATCATGCTCCTTCTCAGAACAATATCATATATACCCCCAAACACTCACACTGACTTTTACAGTATGTGTTTATAATCTCAGTGACACCTGATGTTCCTGCTACGTGATATCATATGAAACAATCCAGAACACCTCCTGTCAGAACGTGTAAAACTATCTGGACATAGAAAGCAAATGCTCGACATAGAAGCAATACCCCTGGTTTGCGTCCGCAGGTCGAGTCTGCACGCTAGAAACCAGCGTTTTAGTCGGCCTCATGAAGACGTAGTCTGTGTAAACCAGCAGGACCAAGCAGAGCCGTCTGAACCCCGAGGACTGAGAGGTCACACGGTGAAGCAGGGGAGGCGAACCAGTTTTCTCACACGGTGACTGTTAGTTTGACTCTCAGCTGAACCTCCAGCCATCCTGTCTCATATCTCAGGTGACATTTCCCGCTGTTCATTTCCCTCAATTCATTTCCCATCATGCATTTAACACAGGAAGTTCAAGGTTCAGGGTTTAAATCTCTGATTTAAAAAATGTTTCAGGTCAGAGCTGTTTTGTTTCATCAGAGGTATCACTCCTAAGAATTTACTTTTACTTTTATTTTCTTTATCTCTGTCTGTTTTTCTTTCATAGCTACAGAAAAAGGGAACTGCACCGTTTCAAAAAATGACAGCAGAAATGTATTTCTAAAACCATTTGGAGGTGCAGAGACAAAGCATCATTTTACCGCTCGGTAACTAGTTGTATTTATTTATCTAGTTGAAATAATCAGTATAAAGCTATAATAAAGGGCGGCTGTGGCTCAGGCAGGAGAGCAGGTTGCCCCTTAGTCAACCTGCTCTCCTGCCTGCACCCCCTGCCCCTGTAAGAGCCCCATGTAACGTTAGGGGGAGGCTAACTCCGCCGGGGAGACCCAGGTAGGGATCGGCTGGTAGTTGGTGGGATTTGAACATGTTTTTTATAATTTTATACATAAGCTACACGTGTACAAAATAATATGAATGCAACAACTGTACAGAGTTGTTTAGTCTGGGTTTCAGGTAGTGAGTCGGTGTCGTGGTGGTTTTCTTTTCCTTGTTTTGTTCTGATGGTCTTAGAGCTCATCCTGCATGTGGGATAAACTTGGTCCTAGTAGCCGACATTGACTGTGAGCTCCCCTTGCGCTGGGTTAACTTGTCTGCTGGTCATTATATTTACTGCATGTCAGCCGCTACGTACAAGCTTCAGATAGCTTACAAAAGGTTGTCCGTTGCATTACTTCTAATGATTGTACTTGTGTGTATTTTAATGTTTTGTGAATAAACTAAACTGGACTGAACTAAACTGAGCTGAGCTTGGCATCGCACAGCGACAAAGACTAAAACTAACACTAATGAAAACTAAACTAAAACTAAGAATTTTCCAAAACTAAAAACTAAACCAGCAAACCCACGTTAAAAACTAATTAAACTGAAATTGAAAACAAAAGTTAAAACGTAATAAAACTAATACAAAATCCAAAACTATAATAACCTTATAAAATATATATATAATATAATAACCTAACCTGGTTTCGGGCAGGAACACGGGGGCAGCAGGTGACCCGCAACCACAGATCCAGACTTTCATATATTTTAGGTTCATTACACAAAGTGAAATTTTCTTTTTTGTTTTAATCTTGGCGATTATCAGAACTGGTAAGCTCTTCAGAAGGTCCGTATTTCTGTATCACACATTCTTTATTCTAATAGTTTGAGATTTCCACTAGCTGTAAGACGCGATCATCAAGATTAAAACAAATAAAGAATCTAGAACATTTGGAAATTTAACTTTAAGTTTAACTTTAAATTACTGAAGAAAATGAATATTCAAATGTTCTGAGATGCACCTGTAGAGATGACGTTTGGGCTGATCAAATCCAGGTTGTGACATAACCCTCTCTTCCTGAGGACAGAAAAATAAGACAAACAAGTCACATCATTTGTATATTTAATTTCAAGTTGAAGCTCTCTGTTGGCGGAGAAGGCATCAGTCATCGTCTTAATTATGGCAGCTCCACTTGCATCTTTCTGCTCATCTTAGTTTCATGTAGCCTCCGTTTGTGGCGGCGTGGATTCAGATGCTCTTCCACCCTCTATTCTTCTTGGGGGAATAATAAAGTCTGTCTTCTTCTTCCCTCCTTGTTCAGGTCCAAGGCCAGCTCCTGCGGAGTACGATATGCTGGAGGTGGCCCTGCCCCGGAGCAACATCACTCTTCTTTTTGGCAGCTGCAATTAATAAAGAAGAGACTGGAGAGTTCCAGCATCATCTAATAACAGGATCTGGATGAAATGTGCACATCTGTGCTAATAGACCAAATGTTGTCAACACTTCTTCAGATGTAAATCCTGTTTCCCTGGCAGGTGTTCACAGAAACATCCATTTCAGTGTAATATTCATGTAGCTAAGACTGAAACCTATGATTCTAGAGAGCCAGACAACCAACGGGAGGCCTGTGGTGTCTCTCAGCATCGAACTGGATCCAGGTTTGAGATGATATTGCTCCAGGCAAAATCAAAGTCCTTGGCTAACGGGTGGATTAATGATAAAGCAAAGGGTTCAGGGCCTCTTTTTGTCCAGACTCCAGAACTTAAAGTCCAGCTGATTAAGCGTGAAGATCTTTCAGCCTTCTTTCACAACAGAGCTAAAATCAGCAGAAGTCACGCCTGCTCCTCCTCCTCATCTGTTCACTACTATTTTAACACATTTTCACCAGTCAGTGCTGATGGTGATGTGGAGTCCCTTCATCCCATCCTCACCTCCTTTTCCTTTATCGAAGGATATTTTAAGCACTGTAAACATTTCTCCCAGTCTTCACTTCTAAAGAAGCCCACTTTAGACTCATCAGTAACTACTGACCAATCTCTAACCTTCTGTTTCTAAACTAAACGTCCTGCACAGGCAGTTAACGGATCACCTGACAACCACAACATACAGGATCTTCGCCCCGGCCACAGTCCAGAAACAGCGCTGCTCATCATTGATATCAGAGTAAACGGTGACAGTGGTGGTTTCTACGTTTGTATTGTTGGACCTAAGTGCACTTTCCATCACGATGTTTTAATGTGGAGACTTGAGAGGCGGGTCTGCCTCTCTGGGTCAGAACTGGACTAGTTTTCATCATACCATACCATTCCACTTGTTGCCTCTCGGCCAACTTCTCAAAAATCACAATGTGTGAAGCCACAATCATGCTGGTGACAGCCAGTTATTTCTTCCCGTGTCCCCGGATGATCTGGGCCCTATTGACATGCTATCAGAATGTATCAAGGACACGGATTCCTGGACGTCTAGTCATATTTTACAGTATAACAGGGACAAGAGGGAAATCCTGGTTATCAAGACGAAGACTAACAGACAGGAAATCTGTGGACTGTGCCACAAAGGTCGAAACCTGACCGTTCTTTCACAGAGCCGCATTAACGGCACAGTTAATAAGAAGTATTGTGATGGTAAGGAGCTTCAATTTGCACTCGGCCTGACTACCACTACCTGCTCCTAACCTAAAAATCATCCCCATCAGTCGTCATCAAGCGTCTCCTCCTTTGTTCAAACTGACCTTCACTCATTAGTAACAGATAAAACTGGTGATGATTCACTTCCTGTTTCAGCTGTGCAGGAACAGGAAGTCATCA